GGGTTTCGTTTACATAACATTATTGATTTGCTCTAAAACAGCGGTTCTCAACCTGTTGGGTCGCGACTCCTTTGGGGGCCGAGCGACCTTTACACAGGGCTCGCCTAAGATCATCGGAAAACACATATTTATGAAGTAGCAAAAAAAAAAAAATTATGTTTTAGGGGGGGGGAGGGGGGCGGTCACCACATCATGAGGGACTGTATTAAAGGGTCGTGGAATTAGGAAGGTTGAGAATCACTGATCTAAAATCTTAATTTTCTTTTTATCTAAAAAAAAAAAAAATTCTAGATGTGTAAGTCACTAAAATGTTCAAATGCGATTGGTTTCCCAATTGTTGTATTTGTATATATCAAAGCGTAAGTTTATAACCTAACTAACATCTCTACGAAACTAACGAAGAAGAAACAAAAAAAGAAGTTCCCCTTTAGTTGCATACACCAGTTCATTATATCCCTATGAATTGTTGTAAACATGACCTAGATCTGGGGGTCATTGGCTCCAGTGTTAGATTTTAAACCAATAGACCTACAGTTCGACATCCTGTTCGCCGCCCTAAAGCCTAAGTCTACACGGTTGTAAAAAAAAAATTGTTTGTTAAATTTAATGTGTAAACTTAAAACTTCCCCCAGTCATAAGATTGCGCCCCCGACAATGCCGGGATTATACGCGACAACAAGGATAGTGTAAGATACAATGATACAAGGATAGTGTAAGATACAATGATACAAGGATAGTGTAAGATGCAATGAAACAAGGATAGTGTAAGATACAATGATACAAGGATAGTGTAAGATACAATGATACAAGGATAGTGTAAGATATATTGATACAAGGATAGTGTAATATACAATGATACAAGGATTAAATGCACACACAAAGCTTCCTGAATTTCTGCTAAAAATACGAATGCGTCAGAACATAACTCATTGCCCGTCAGCGCCGTTGAGTTGGTTAGTGTCACCCCCGGGGGGTGGGACAAGATTTGTACCACCCTCACCCAATTTCCTCGGAAAGAAAACCTCAACAGTTGGCCAAAAATGCCGTCCCTAAACATTGTGAAGGGACCGCACCCCCCCCACCCCCATAGTCACCACCTAAGCGAGTGTTGCTACCCCCCCTCCCCTAACTTCTGTTTTCAACTCTTCAGTACGGTGAAGGACAGACAGACATACACGCACCGGTGCATAATGGCTCTCACCACCATCTTCGCCGCATTTTATCGGAAAAATCGGATGCTGTCATGTCACTCCTAACCCTAACTCTAACCCTAACTCTAACCCTAACTCTAACCCTAACCCTAACACTAAACCTAACCCTAACTCTAACCCTAACTCTATCCCTAACCCTAACCCTAACACGTATTATGTCAATCGATGGATTGCCCAGAGTGAAAGCTTTATTTCATAACATGTATCTTAATTGTCTATTTCGGGGAGACCAATTATTTAAGCCCCCACCCCCCTCCCATTCATGATTGTGTCCTTGTATATGCCGGATGGAAAGCTATTGTTTTGTATGGGATGGAAATTGATAACTACGGGATGGAAATGGTTAACTATGGGATGGAAAAGGATAACTACGGGATGGAAACGTCTAGCACGGTGCGGACAACCTCCTGAACGCCTTTCCCAACCGCCCTAAGAGGCCATGGCGTTAGTTTTGTACACCAACCACATCAGATGTCGTCAGAGTTTAGTCTACTGCCTTAGGCGATATTTCAAACGTATGTCCGATGCAGTGGCGTAGCGAAGTGGCGAAGTGGGGGGGGGGGTGAAGGTCAGAGGGGCAGAAGTTTCGATCGTTAGAATAGTAAAGGGAAACACAGTGGGCTTTGGTGGTATTTTATTGATGAACATGATTGGTTTCAGAGTTCAATGTGGGGCGTTAAAATGAAGCATCTCCCAGGGCGCCGAACACCCTAGCTACGCGTCCGGTGCGACGTAAGTCCCACGTTGGTTGAACGTAAGACAGATGTTTGATCGTAAACTCAAGCGGAATTGGGGAGTCGTGTTTTTCTCTTGTCACGGACTCTGAATTAAGTTATCGGAATAATTGTCTGACGTCATGTCATTCTTCAGTTTATGAATAATGGAATGAGTTACGTCATAGGTCGGGGTCAAAGCTGATAATTAGCTGGAGGTCGGATTGTTATTGGGTTATTCTGACTGAGCAGACTTTACACAAAAAAGGGTCAAGGACAAACAATAATATTGTACTGAAACGTGCCTCACTTCTATAAAGCAAGATTTGGCCCCCAGTGTTTAAAAAGCCACACAAGCTCTGCGCCACAAGTATATTGTATAGGGGAAGATTATGTTATCGCAATCGCTTTATCTGCAATCTGTACCACAAAGTAGATACTGCGATCTCACTCTTGTCTAGTCTGAAAGGTGTATATGTAACCGGACCTAAAAATGTGTTCCGCTTAAATATAAGGATGTTATGTCACTGAGCCTTCGCATACTCCTGGCCGGACAAGGACTCAGATCATCCACAGACGATAAAACTTTGTTTTGGGGGTCGTGGATCACGTGCTAACAACAGACCCGTTGCTGTCGTCGGCCGTGGAAGTACTCGACTACCGCAACAGCACCTGCCTGGCGGTGCCCGAGATCACAATCGTATCTTCATTACTTGTAAGTTGTTGCTGCTATTTACCTACACTGGTCGGTGGTTCAGAAACATCTTTCGTAGACCGAGATGGTTCATTTTGGGTTCTTTAAAGGCACAGTAGTAAGACGGGAAAAAAAGGAAAGAAATTTTTTTATAATAAATTCTTCACTCGCGTAGTCGCTGCTGCTTCAAAAACATGGAGCAATTACCTCTTATAGGTTAGAATCAATTGTTTTTTTTCAAATTTTATGTCTACCCAAAGGGAGGACATTTTTAAAAAAAAATGGGGTGTGTTTGTTTGTATTATGTGTGTGAGTATTTGTATGTTTGTGTATGTTTGTGTGTGTTTGTGTGTATGTTAGTGTGTTTTGTGTGTGTTTAGGGTTTGGTGAGGGAAGTCGAGTCTAAAGTCTAATGTACATTTTTATCCAATCATTTCCTTGCTTGACAGGAGGGACCTAACTGGATATGTAACGTATCTAAAAGGAACGAATGGGATCACAGTAGGTGTCGTGAACCCGCTGTCCGTGTAACCCGTCACAGACGCCACACACGGTTCCGCTTTAGCGCGCGCAGCATTGACATTTTAGAGCTTTATTTATTTATTATTATTTTTTTTAATTCTATTCTTCGCTCGACGACCATTCAAAAAAAGGCGGGCCTCCGTACTTTGCCCCCCCCCCCCTTTTACTGTCTATTTTAAGCGTTTGCTGGCCGGTTGTCATTTATAGTCGTATCTATTTAATTTGTGATCCAAATGTCAAAATTGAGTAGCTTACAGGATTCTTACAATTGTATTTCAAGTCATTACTTGCCGGCACTGCGTGTCGTGAACGTGCAACCTTAAATTACCGTTGTTAGAGTTTTTGTAGAGACTTTTTTCAAGGAAAACAAAAAAATTGCTTGTCATTGTTCAGTGCGCTGACGAAGGATTGTGGTCGAAAACTCTGGTTATATCGGTTGAAACTCTGGTAATTTGTTTGATTATCCGGTTATTGTGGTCGAAAACTCTGGTTATATCGGTTGAAACTCTGGTAATTTGTTTGATTATCTGGTTATTGTGGTCGAAAACTCTGGTTATATCGGTTGAAACTCTGGTAATTTGTTTGATTATCCGGTTATTGTGGTCGAAAACTCTGGTTATATCGGTTGAAACTCTGGTAATTTGTTTGATTATCTGGTTATTGTGGTCGAAACTCCGGATATTGTGGTCGAAACTCCGGTTATTGTGGTCGAAACTCCGGTTATTGTGGTCGAAACTCTGGTTTTGTGGTTGAAACTCTGGAAATTTGTT